TCAATCAGATGTAATCAATAAGAGCATTAAACTGCATGGCAATTGGACAAGCAGCTTCTAATTTTTTAGACTGAGCTATTGCAGGTTCCTACCAGATACTTTGTTGCCTACTCTCAAGCACACCGATTTTCCAGAAGTGGCTAACTGTAGATACACAAACTGAGGAGCTCAGACAGTGGAATTCAAAAGGAGTGAGAAGCAGCGAAGAAAACTCTTGCTAACTTTAGACAAGCCAGCTGTGTTCCTTTTTAAATCCAGCTGGTTTGGAGATCTGGGATATAAAGTTCTCGAATAGTACAGTACATCACTGGTGCGCATACAGTTACCAAGCTTTGGTTGTACCTTATGGAGTGCTTCTCTAGAGCTTGAGCATGAAAGGTGCCATATTGACCTGAATGTCAGCCTTGAAAAGGCTGGGAAGAGGATGGCAAACACACACCCTAACACAGGGGTTCTCAAACTGGGGGTCGGGACCCCTCAGGGGGTCAGAGGTTATTACATGGGGGGTCGCGAGCTGTCAGCCTGCACCCCAAACCCTGCTTTGCCTCCAGCATTTAGAATGGAGTTAAATATGTGTTTTTAATTTAGGGGGGGGTCGCACTCTGAGGCTTGCTCTGTGAAAGGGGTCACCAGTACAAACGTTTGAGAACCGCTGCCCTAACAATCTTGGGCTATATTATAGCATCAGATTTTAAGCTGAAATCCCTATTGAAATTGGAGGCATTCTGCCTAAAACCGAGAGCACGTGATGGCTCATTCTCTTTGTAAACGTAGCGTTAGTCTTACCCTTCTGGAGACGGGCTTTTCTGTAGTTTAAAAGCTCAAGCTCGTCTTACGTTTAAGGCTGCGTCTTATTCACAGAAGTCACAGATTCCATTACTGTTTTTTATTTAAAGCTATCCATGACTTTTTGACACTATGGGATGTTTCCATGTGGTTTCAGTGAGTCCCTTGAGGGCGGCCCGTGTAGAGCCTGGATTTTTTGAGAGGGTTAAAGAGCAGGGACTCTCATCATTGGGTTGGTGCCTTGTCAAGAAGTGTGCAGCGCTTATTTTCCAGATTCCACGCCTGCGTCTTTTTGGAAGAGCCCCAGCTCTGGTGTAAGTGATGTCTGTTCAGCCCTGCTCTTTGCTGGCAGGGAAGCAGAGCTAGAGGGGCAACCTCTGTTCTCTCTTAGCAGCCCTGCTGCGTTGCTGCTGAGCTGACTCTGCAGGCACCAGTGGCCAGGCTGCTTAAAATAATTAAAAGTATTAGTTAAATGCTACCTGTTGTTTTAAATGCAGAATAAAGGCAATTGTGATTTTTAAATGACCCGTGAAATGTCATTTTCTAGCTATAAATTCATGACTGACGTTTGTCTTCCTGAAGCCTGTGAATAAAATAGCCAGCGCTAACAGACTTGTCTCTGAGCTTGAAAGCGTATGTTTGTGTTGATTATTTTGTGTAGTTCTTGCCAAACTGCTTTTAAAGGAAGGAGAGAAACACTGGCGGGATGGCCTAGTTGGGGCATGTAGTTCTCCTACCTGCTGGAGCAGCAGCCCCTTGAACGCAGTCCAGGCCTTCTCATCTTCAAGGTCACAGAGTCCCCCTCCGCTTCCTCTGTGATTGTGGAGCCATTAGGTGGAAATGAAAGAGATGAACTGATCAAACACTCCTTGAAATGCCTTCAGGGTTTCAGCTTGAATATTTTTAATTAGCTCCATGTAAAGACTTTATTACTTCAAATAACCATGATCATAGAAGATTCTCAGTTTGATCCTCCCTCCCCCCCTTATGGTGCACAAGAAGCCTCAGTAGATGTAGTTTTTACACCCAGCTAGACACCCCAAGCCACAACTAACAGCCAGTGGAAACATCAAGCGATTATCTTTAAATACGCCTATCAGGGACCTATGAAAAAAGCTATGTATGTCCATAACATAGAAGGTGGCTCAGCATTAGCATGGTCGAGAGATGCTTTGCTCTAATATAGTACGGAGTACTGCAGAATACCTTATCTAAAAACATCTGTCATACTTTGTCATAGCTGATAGGAATTTGTGCTGCAGATTCGGTAAATGACTGACTGGCATTTGGAGCCAGTGCATTAGCAATCGAGAGAGAGAGAGAGAGATAAAGATTTTCTCCTCATCCTAATTCCTTGTTCCCGCCACCTCCTTTCAGGATGAACCCTTGGCAGTGGTATGACGTATCCTCAACCCTCTGCTGGATTTCCAACTCAGCTGAGAGCTGTACCACCTTCCTGAACCCACAAGTGGTTTCAGTTTGGCTTCAAAACGTTGCATATTTCAATCCCATCTCAAAACCCCCTGATGATTCAGTCTGAACTGGGACAATGTCGCAGTAGTGAGGGATGTACTGACCTGGTTTGAAGGGAGGGTGGTTTCGTGATGGAAAGTGCCAGAATAGAAGTCAGGAAACTCCCAGTCCAGCTCCTGGCTTGCTTGTATGACCTTTCCGTGACTTCACTCTCTGACCTGCAAAATGGGGATAGCGACCGCACAGACTGTCTGAGTTCATGACTGGCCTCATCCCACTCCTGCTGAAGTTGTTTGGAGTCCCCGCAGGCCCTCAATGCCTTGCATAACCTTGAAATGGAACTTTACAAATGTTTCACTTGTAAGTCAAGTGCTTTACAACCATTTGACAGAGGAGGGTTTAAAAGTGCAAAATATTTTGTGTTCTGATAGAATATTGCACAAAAGACATCTGCCTCCTGCTGTAACTTGGCCTTTCCCTCCGTCTGCCTGAGAGGTATCTGGTTTCAGAGGGGTAGCAGTGTTAGTCTGTATCAGCAAAAACAACGAGAAGTCCATGTGGCACCTTCGAGACTAACAAATTTATTTGGGCAGAAGCTTTAGCCCACGAAAGCTTATGCACAATAAATTCTTTAGTCTCTAAGGTGCCACAAGGACTCCTCGTTGTTTTGTGAGGTATCTGTTTTGCTCCCAATTCTTGGGCTTTGTGTTTTGGTTAGTTAGAGTTGGAAATTGTGACCTGTTCTCCTTCATATCACTTCAGATAAATAAATACTGGGAAGTTAATTTTTAAAAGCTTGCAGAGTGGGGTGGTGACCCAAGAGCTATGTAATTGGCTTGATAAACAGACTGAAGTGGATATAGCTGTCGAAACTGTGACAAGTGAAACGTGGCTACTATGAACTAAGAGAAGATAAAACAGCCGTTGCAGATGCGCTACTTTTGTTTTTTGATTACCGTTCACTCTGCATGAACTACATGAACAGATTTGGATTAACTCCTAGCGACCTTGACAGTGGCTTTTCTTTTAAGCCTGACTTTCAATGGAAAGGGACATATACACAGCAGAAAAAGAACCCTCCCCCCCGGCAGCAAGTCTCAGAGCCTGGGTCGACTGACTCAGGTTTGCGCTGCAGGGTTAAAAATAGACGTTCAGGATCGGGCTGGAGCCCAAGCTCAGACACCCAGCAAGGGGGGGAGAGTCTCAGAGGCCAGGCTGTAGCCTGAGCCCGAATGCCTACCCTGCTATTGTTATCCCAGTCGTGTGAGCCCAGTGAGGTGGAGTATGTTGAGCTGGGCTTGGAGACTCACTCCCATGCGGGTTTTTTGGTGCGTAGACGTACCCTAAATGGGATCAGGGCCTGAGTACGTCTAAATCTGGGTTAGTTCTATCTGAGACACAGCATGTGGCAAATGGGTAGAACATCTTCTTGATCCTCAGTGCATCTTCGTGAACATTTTCAACGCTACCACTTGTAACTGCAAACAGTTCAGTATGTTGTGGTGTCATGAGCAGTAGGATATTGAAATGGGGGGCGGAGCTTCATAGACTCGTGAGCAACAAGCAGCATGGGCTAATCTAAAGAACAAATTCTGCCTGACACACTTGATGGCTTTTTAGGTAGAATTATAAAACTAGAGAATAAAAGGGGCATAGTGTGTGTGATATAACTGAATTTAAGTGGCACATTTGCAGTGTCTGTCCAAAATGTACAAAAATAATTCAAATAGACTTAGAGAAGAACAGTATCATCTGGAGTGAAAACTAGCGGAAAGACTACAAACGAGAGACAAGGTGGGGGAGGGAATATCCTTTATTGGACCGTCTGTTGGTGAGAGAGACAAGCTTTCGAGCTATACAGAGCTCTTCTTCAAGTCTTGTTAAATGAGAATGTAGAGTTGAAGGAAGAATCCAATGACTGGTGTCGAGTTTGGATAGAATGATGAAGACTGAACCATGTTAATCTAGAATAAGCTGATAACCTAGGTGATGTGAGGATCAATAAACACCACAAAAGGACTCAGATTGGAAAAACAGACAACAAATGACAAACGGATTAGAAAAATGCCAGCTAATGCTTTAAACCCAAAAATTCAGTGAGCAGAAGAAAGCAGAGAAGCCGTAATGCTGAAGAGACATGGGTGTGATGGGGGACAGTGAACTAGGTAGGGGTTTGTAGTGCATTGTGGGGGCTTCTTGTACAAATATGTCACAGAGTAAGGGGGTGACATTCAGGTGTACCTGCGTTCATTTCTGGGCACCTCGATCCCAAAAAGCTATTGACCAATTTAGAAGGGAGTAAACAAAGAGGAACAGAAAAGATCATAGGGCTGGGAGTATTGACTCTTTTTGAATAGAGTTGAATCACTTGTATCTTGGCGACGTAAGGTGGGAACTATCTACAAGTATATGATGGGTATAAATGCTAGTGAAGGGAAAGTTACTCAGTGGACTACAAGGGTAAATGAAGGCTAGGTTGGAGTCCATAACATTTAGAGATGGCATTTCCTTTCAGGCCACGGGTGAGGCTGTTGAAGGAATATTGTGGGAACTTTACTCTTACTGTGCTCTGTGTATTGAGCTGTGAATAAATACAGAATTATTTCAGAGCCAGTAACGTCAATCATAAATCACAAGTGTCTGAGAATAAACCAAGCTTTAAGCAGTTACAGCCAATCGGTCTAGTCAAACTACATTTGTGATCAGTGTTTGAATGTTGCTGATTGTGGTTTTCGTTCTAGAATCCTCTGCAGATGAAAGGAACGGTTCCATAACTGGGAGGAAGCTACCTCTAGCCCGCAAACATTGCATCCGTGTTTTGGGAGGAAGGGAGAAGGAACGTTGTTTCATTGGAGAGCTCAGAATTGAGGAGGCTGCAAGCCTGTTCTCAGTTTTATATGTACAACATGTCTTTCCGGATATTAATTCCTGTTTGTGAAATCTTGAGTCTGTCTTTGAAAATAAGCTTAAACTCTGCTGTAGAAAAGGAGAGACTGCCCCTTGGGCTTTACTCTCTCATTTTAACGGAGCCCTGGATTATTCACAGAAGCTGATTGAAGCAGGCTTTATTTTGAACCAGACTTTTTCTCAGTCTTCTCCGACCTCTTCCAAGTTTTGGGCTGCACAGAGGAAATATGTAAATAAAAGTAGGATGCCATGGAATTTGTATTTACGCAGATTGTGCTTAGAATAATTGTTTAAAATTTGGTTTTGTTTTGAAAAAATAAACCGATCTCTGGAAAATAATCCGAGCAGGACTGGTCCCAGTTTATTGTCCAAGGGTGTTTTTTTTTTTTTTTTTTTTTTTAAGAAGCTACAGTGAGGAATCAGAATTTGAAAACATGATTTGGTTTGTCTTGCCAACTTGCTGCTTCACTTGTTAGACAATACAACATGTTATGCTTTATGAACATTCTCGTGCATATTGATGCTAAATCCGAAGTTACTTCAGAATATACCCCTTACCTATTCCTCTTCCCCCAAATATCAGATCTCCCCAGTTAGTTCATGTAGATTTCCCTGGATTGTTTTTGAATGGTTCTGCCTTGCAGAGTGACAGTTGTTCAATGTAGATTTGAATGCATGCTAATGAACAGCATACAGCCAATACAAAATCAGTAAGAAACCTTACAAAGATTCCATGGAAGGGGAAACTGGCAAAGCAGAATGTACTGCTCCCACCCTGTACGTCCCAGCTCATGCCCTCTGGACATTGCACATCAGTGGTAAGGCAGAGAGCAGGGTGTGAAGGAAAATCGCCCCGGTGAATACACATTCCAGAGACTGCTTGCCAAGAAAGAAACCTCTTGAGGTTTCACTCTATACGCATCCGAAGAAGTGGGTTGTAGCCCACGAAAGCTTATGCTCTAATAAATTTGTTAGTCTCTAAGGTGCCACAAGTACTCCTGTTCTTTTTGCGGATACAGACTAACACGGCTGCTACTCTGAAACCTCTTGAGCTTTCTCAACCTGTTTTTCTCCACCTTCACTTGACAGATTTTTCTGCAGGCCTCAGTAACGATTGAGACTTAATCTTACTCCTTGTCCTAACTGTTCTTTTGTCAGATGTACTGTGCAGCCAGCTTCTCAAGCAAGTTCTATTTTAGCTCTGCTCGCTGCTTTCTTTCAGGATGATAAATATTAGGGGGTCACGTCTCTTTTAGGCACTGATAGGTTTGAAGAAACAGGTTGATACCAAAGATGTTAAAATGAGTCTTGTAGATTTTATTGACTAGGCACTAGATGGCAATATATCCCTCCTCTTCATAAATACAAGCAACTTTTATGGGTTAGTGTCTAACAGACTTTATATTGCTGAATATTAATAATCTTTTCTACAAATTGTTCTGATCACTTCCTTGATCAGAAGCTGATGGCCGTTCCCTGCCAGAATCCGAGAGCTTTCGTATCTCATGACTCCACATGAGGACAAGAGACATTCTTGAAGAAGGCACATGTATAATGGAGTTCCACTACATAGCTACCTATGTCTTCAGCAGCAGGAGCTTTCCCACAATGCTTCCAGTCCTTATCCCAGCAGCCAGCGCCGTCCAGCATTGTCACTGTAGGAAAGCTAGCATGCTGTCGTTTGTGGTTAATGAACACAGGTGCTGGAAAGCTAGGGACGAAAACCTATTGAATCTATGTCAATATTTGACTCCATCTTAGGCAAAGGTTGAATCTGCCAAGTACTAAACTTATACGCTGTAATTCACAGAATCTAAGGCCCTGATCCTGCAGAAATCTCAAGCCTATGCTTAACATTATGCATGTGAATAGTCTTGTTCAATGGGCCTGCTCAGAGTGTATAGCAGTGGTGTAAGGCTTCAGGATTGGGCCCTAGGTCCAGAAGGGGACCCCTGTGATCAGTTGCTGCCTGGCACAGGCCACAGAATTTCACACAGTAATTTCTGCAGTGAAAGGAATTATCCTTTTAATTTTGGGGGGCGGGGTTGTAGGTACCATTCACAAATCAGAAGAAGAGGCAGAGGTATCCCTTCCCCCTTAGACCCAGTGATTAGGGCACCCATCTCGAACATGGACATGACTCCAGCTCTCCCTATCACAGGTGAGTGCTCTGGGCACTAGGCTATTGGTTATTTTGGGGTGGGGGTCTCCGTCTCTCCTGCAGGAGTTGTTCCACTTGGTATCAATTAAACATTCATCGGAACAGGACCTGGAACCCAAGTGTCTCCTGACCCAGGTGCGTGCCGTAACCACCAGACTAGACTCATTCTCACTCGGTGGCTCAATGAATATTTATACGAAGGGGAGCAGCTTCTGGAGACTCGTCCCAGAACAGCAAAGAGCTGGTGGTTAGGAAGGGGGGTGGGGTTTGAGCCTGGGTCTTCTAAAGGCCAGGTGGGGGGTGAATTGCTGTCTCCTGCTCAGTGAAACACTTTTTGACTCCAAACTGTTTTGTGTCTGAATTTTCAATTAATCAAAAATAGTGGAAAAATTTCAGTTTTCAGTTGACCTGAAACAAAACAAAACAAAAATTTGTTTTTGTTTTTGTTTTTAACTGCCAGGAAACCAATAAAAGAGTTATTCTCCCATCTCTACTGGTGGATTACTAGAGCACATCCCTGGGGAGACAGCCAATCTGGATTTAAAGACCTCCACGTGATTTAATTAGAGCTTGCCCAAAAATACGAGTTATTTCCTGCAGGAAATGTGGATAATTTCTCTTCTGAAATTTACCATAAAAAAATTTCATCTTTTCCACAAAGAACAAAACAAAAAGGAAGAAAAATGTAAATTTTTACCAAAATCCAAACAATTTTACTGAGAATTTTAGGTTTTTTTTTTCTTGGTTTTTCTTTGTCATGAACCCAGAAAACTCTGACCAAAATGAAAGATTTCCATGAAAATTTAATTTTGGTCAAAAAGCTATCTTTCATTAAAAGAAAATGCTTTTGATGAAAAACTTTAACCAGCTGTAGAACTAACCACATCCCTTGGTATGCTGTTCCAAGAGTTTACCTTCACCATTCACAAGTTGTCTTAGTTCCAATTTGGATTTTTCTAATGTCAACATCTGGCCCTGGGATCTGGTTATGCCTTTGTCTGCTAAATTAAGAGACACCTATCAGCTATATTTTCCCTATGTAGCTACTTGACCTTAGCCAAAAGACCAGGACACAGTCTGCTCCCACTTCTACCCTGCAGTCTGTGAAGTGGAGATGAAACATATTAATTCTAAAAAATAAACTAACACATTGGCTCCTATGTGCCTGAGAGATGAGTCAGTATTTCCTGGTTATTGCCAGCTCTTGCAAATTGCTTCTTTGCTAGTAACCACACAAGAAATATAATGCAAATGTAAATACAACTGAAATTAGTATAGCTCGAATACCATGGTGTCTTGGTTTTCAACAAGCTAATGTACCAGCTGCATGGTACCTCACATTGTCTTCCATTTCTGGGGTGGGTTCAGCAGGCTCTGTCTTCTAGATGGAGTCACAGTAGGCTAGGACTGTAGGTAGGTAAGCAAAAGATTTGGGATGGCAAAGACCCCACTGCCTTCTATACTTAGAAGGTTGCATTCTTCCCAGCTCACCACCCCATGACTGCTTGGCCATGGAAGATCTAAGCACCAACACAAGTTGGTTGACTACCAGCACTGTAACTACTTGGTTGCTGAGGGCGAGAACTCATTCCTTTCCAAACAGCGGGTCACATACGCGAAATGCTTGAGTGGGTGACAGTCTAAACTTGGCATGAACATACTCAGTAGGGGCTGGAAAACCACGAAACCTTCCCCAGCACCCATTCATCTTTGACTATGGCACCCAGAATCTGAGTTTAGATCTCCTCTACTAGCAGACTGTCAGGAGATCCAGACACCTAGCTAAGAACTCTGAATTGTTCATTTTATTTGTTTAATTTTCTAATCTAAGTTGCTCCACTCGGTGAAGCCTGTGACCCTCTGGGGAGACAGCGTCATCTAGTGGCTAGGGCACTGGGGTGGCAATCTGAAGCCCTCAGTTCTAATCCTGGCTCTGCCACAGGTGTCCTGCATGACCTTGCACGAGTGACGAGGCCTCTCCGAGGTTCTTTTCCCCTCCCACCCTTCATCCATCATGTTTATTTGGAGTAGAATTGTCTCTGCAGCACCTAGCATGCGGAGACCTCTCGGCACTGCTGTAATAGAAATAACACTGCTCTGTGCCTGTTTGCATATGACTGGAGGGACTCTACTAGCTAGTGATTGTCTTCCCCTGTGGCCGTGGCCAGTGCTGGAGTGCTCAGTGTCACAGGGGCCAGGCCGCGGGTTCTGCTGGAGCGAGAGGAAGTGAACCAAAGGGGTTTTGTTTTGCTTTTAAAGCAGTTTTCCAGTATAATTTTACACTGGAGCAGATGCCCAGGAGTAACAGCCCAGTGCCCCCGTGGGATGAGGTGTGTATCTCAGGAGGTTACCCCAGTGCATCTCCCCTCTCCGCTCACTTGCATCCGGAGCTGGAGGGACGGGGGAATTCAGTCACTTCTCGCTTGATGCGACCTGTCGCGTTCCCAAATTCGTTGTAGTCGCCTCTCACTGCTTCCTCTTCTCGGAGCTGGTCAAATCTCTGTCACTGCCGGGATTGCGCAGCGGCCGGGCTGTAACACAGGCTGTTTAGAAGCCGTGCCTTTTACTCTCGGCTGCCGTTTCTGAAACTCAGCAGAGCGGAAACTGCTCGCTGGCGCCAGCTGACTCGCTGCTGTGAACCCCACAACTGGCACCTTGAGCGCTACTATTTTTGCATGTTCTGTTCTCCCTTTCCCCTCGTTTGTGTTGGCAGTTGCTGGAGAATGAAGCTGATTTAATTGGCAGTTGTGTTTGTGGCCAGGGTGTTATGAAAAGGTTTTCTGTCTCTCTCTGTAAGTTACACTGACTGTGTTTTCATTCTTAATATAATATTCACTTCATTATTAGCTGAAAGAGGTTCTTTTGCAGAAAAAAGTCCCTCTTCCAAAAATACATATAAAAGTTTCTTCATGCAGCAGTATTCTGAGGGCTGGGCTTTTCTGGTGGAAGGGAAGTGAGAAAGCTGATGGTATCTGTGATTTAGACAGAAATCCCTTTCTTTCCCAGGGTGGTGGAACACTGCCCCACTGTGCTGGTACCGCTACTGGCTGCAACATCGAGCCACCCTTGGGCCTTCTCCCAAACGGCAATGGAGTGGGGTTTTTTGTACGTGAG